CTACCGGTACTCGAAATCCGACCCCGCAGTCGCCCACGAAGAAACCAGTCACTATACCGACTGTGCTATCCCGACACCACGTCATGAAATGTACGGGGAAGTGCAGGTATGGCTGCATCTTTCTTAACCTCTGCAGAAAATGTAGGTGAGTGATCAGTTCCACGCAGACTTTGGTGCCGGGAAATGCCCCCCCCCCCGCACTGTGCAGGAGGCTGGGTAGGTCCCAGAGTCGCTCTCGACTCTGTGAAGAAGAGAAAAATATCTGGCCCTGGCCGGTAACCGAAAAAAAAACCGTCTGTCGTCCACCCGGTCGCAACGACGACTGAAATATCCCAGCTTCCATGTGTCACATGGGAACGTTACAAACACAAGCTTTGTTGAAAGTTACACACAGCTATTTCAGATAGGTCTAAACAAAGTGGAAGTTTTGAGTTCATGCACAAGAGAATGTCATAGACTCTACATGAATAGGATTTCTTAGCTGGATGTTCGGTGTATTACTCAGAGATAGGGTATGAAACGAATATTGTGACTCATCGACCCATTGGAAGCAATGGCTCGGTAAAAACATTCCCGAAATTGCGCTCTCAACAATAGGAGGACATGTGTTGCTGGTTAACGAACCAATGAACACGCGGCTATAATAATACCCGACAAGAATCAAAGGTGTTTTCTATGCGGTCCACGCCGAGACTGTTTGTTAGGTACCTGCGTGGTAACATGCCTCTAACCCCGTGTGGAGGCGGGGTCGAATACCTCCACCGTGACCGTGCGAGTCGTAGTTCATTCATCAGTAATCTGTCAGACGACAGGTCCACAGTCTCTTCCAAAACAGTTCCTCCACTGAATGCGATTCTCTGTTTTTTGAAGGAGACTGTCCAGGAAAATAGATAATGTGGTAGTTTTTCCATTTGTTTTCCACATCGCAGTACAACAGCCGTTCAAACCACTCTGGTCACGCCTGTTGCTATACGAACTTGAACCATCTCGAGCGTCATTTGCTCTGTGCTTCAAGTCGCTGCTGATGACGCTGCTTCCGACATCAGTTTTTGGTTTTTGGTGTCTCTCTTCGTCTGATGCCTACCCTTTGACCTGTCCAGCAAGGGAGGCCTCGCCAGTAGCTACGCTATCGCTGGTATAACTCTCAGGGTCCTTGGCATACTCAAACCCCCTCACCACGATAAGGTGGAGACACCAACGAGGGGGCGACGAAAAGGGAAGTCTCATATCTTAGCAGCAAAGTATGGTCGCGAGTCCCAAGGGACTAGGACCCGGGAAAGGGCCGGCAGCATATACAAAAGACAGACCCGTCTTCTCATCAGAGAGAGCGCCTCACAGAAACAAGACCGTAAATGTCAAACGGTAATAATAAATATCTGGTCATAAGCCCCAGATGGGGTTCGACACCAAGACTCACTAACCGACTGTCAGTCGCAATGTGACTTTGACTAAACATGCCTCTACAACAGTAGACAAGAATACAAGGAGTCAGTCTTAGACCGGGAATGAGAATGGAAGTAGCTGTCAGCAGGAGATAGCCAAGTTAAAGTTAGCAGTTAAAGGAGAATTAGAAGTCAGCCTACAAAGACGTAATGTGTGATTAGAAGATGTAGTTACAGTGAGAGTGTTTTAATTCCGTTACCAGGTTACGACTATTGAAGACTGAGAAACCAAATGCGTGAGTATCGGTGAACTGTAAATTGTGTAAATCAGCTGTAGCGCTGTATTGCTTGTAAGTAGGAGCTGATTTTAAAAGGTGTTAATAAATCCAATCATCCAATCCAGAACCCGTTATTGTTCGTCACGGAACCCCGGACACGTGACAGTAGGTAAGGAGCCGCAAATGGCAGTCGGCTCCTTACATACCGTCACTCGTCACGGAACCCCGGACACGTGACAGTAGGTAAGGAGCCGCAAATGGCAGTCGGCTCCTTACATACTGTCACGTGGCCGGAGTTCCGTGACGAGTGACAGTATGTAAGGAGCCGCAATTGGCAGTCGGCTCCTTACATACTGTCACGTGGCCGGAGTTCCGTGACGAGTGACAGTATGTAAGGAGCCGCAATTGGCAGTCGGCTCCTTACATACTGTCACGTGGCCGGAGTTCCGTGACGAGTGACAGTATGTAAGGAGCCGCAATTGGCAGTCGGCTCCTTACATACTGTCACGTGGCCGGAGTTCCGTGACGAGTGACAGTATGTAAGGAGCCGCAATTGGCAGTCGGCTCCTTACATACTGTCACGTGGCCGGAGTTCCGTGACGAGTGACAGTATGTAAGGAGCCGCAATTGGCAGTCGGCTCCTTACATACTGTCACTCGTCACGGAACTCCGGCCACGTGACAGTATGTAAGGAGCCGACTGCCAATTGCGGCGACTGCTGAACTATCAGTTACCTTGAAAGCAATCATGCAGACAGACTGCAAGAACTTACGATTCCAAAAAGGGCGCTGTAGCACGATATGCCTAAATATAAGCCTACAACAGAGGGCCTGTTTTGACCTCAAATCTTATGGTGAAATCAGAAAACAAAAACTTATAGTGATCCTTGTCACTATTCAACTGCATAACTGTTAATGTGTCACCTCACCCATTTTGTCAGAGACAAAATGTCACATCCATACAGAATCACAGGCAAATATATTTCAAAATGCTCAATATCGGAACATAAGAAAACAATAATCTTGTAAGATGGTGTGTGTATCCAGACCGCATGTGCCTGAGAACACAGTGTCCTGAAGAATACAATGAATCTCATAACGAGAAATTTCATGGCCACGTAATACTGTTAGAATAGTAAAATATAAGGTGCACGATGGGTTGGACATGTGGCACAATAGAGGATAGAAGAGAGGTTCTGAAGGTCGGAGGAGGATGAAGTTGGCTGAGGATTATGTCAAGTGAATGCTTCATGTAAATTGTTGCTGGTCTTCGCCAGTACAGTCAATCTTGGTTCTTGGTGTAACCGTCTATTATAATCTGCTGGTTAAAACGATTGGTAATTTATTATTACAATTAACACGCATGTTACTTCTTAGAATATAGAAAGAGAGATATGCCGCATGCAGCACCCAGGAAGGATGGTTCTTGCTGTCCCCTCCGAACATTAATAATGTTTTTTTTCNTACGTTCCAGCACTATGTTCCCAAACACCCTCACTCTATGTTCCTCCCTTAATGTCAGAGACAAAATGTCACATCCATACAGAATCACAGGCAAATATATTTCAAAATGCTCAATATCGGAACATAAGAAAACAATAATCTTGTAAGATGGTGTGTGTATCCAGACCGCATGTGCCTGAGAACACAGTGTCCTGAAGAATACAATGAATCTCATAACGAGAAATTTCATGGCCACGTAATACTGTTAGAATAGTAAAATATAAGGTGCACGATGGGTTGGACATGTGGCACAATAGAGGATAGAAGAGAGGTTCTGAAGGTCGGAGGAGGATGAAGTTGGCTGAGGATTATGTCAAGTGAATGCTTCATGTAAATTGTTGCTGGTCTTCGCCAGTACAGTCAATCTTGGTTCTTGGTGTAACCGTCTATTATAATCTGCTGGTTAAAACGATTGGTAATTTATTATTACAATTAACACGCATGTTACTTCTTAGAATATAGAAAGAGAGATATGCCGCATGCAGCACCCAGGAAGGATGGTTCTTGCTGTCCCCTCCGAACATTAATAATGTTTTTTTTTCTTAGAAATTCTGAGTTTTGAGACGGCGAAATCTTTGGTTAGTTCTAGTTTTGACACCTCACGCAACAGTTCATCTTCGAGTAGGAGGGCCACAGACCTAAGTTCTGACCATTATCAGTCACTGGCCTGTCCATAATGCCGTTTGCATCGTAATGCTCAAAGTCGCTAAGAATTTCCCGTTAATTGGTAATCCGGAAATTATAAAGACCCTTAATTCCTAAACTAAGCCAATCAGGGAAAATGAGAGAGGCAACTTTTTCTGCGAAGTGGGGCCCTGAAATTTTCTGGGTGTCAGAACCAATGGGTACTGCAAACACTCGGCTTCTGGTTATTAAATTTTATGGGATCAAATCCGCGCTCCTCGTAATTATAAATTCACGACCTACATAACTAATTAGGTTATTTTTCAAGTATTCGAAGAGATCTGAGTATTATTTGCGGTAGTAAATCAATCTGTAAACTATTAGAATGTTTATGGTATTATTAAAGTGAACTCAGTTTTTATATTCGATTGTATTAGTTATGCCAGTGCTCTTCAGTAAATCCCGACTCCAAGCATAACCAGCTAATTCACTGAGTGTGTGTTTTTCCTGCCCGTTAAGCCCAGAGTCATGTCCTACACAGTCAAAGACCAGAGCTAGTCACCCCCTGTCGAACCTTACTCGAAGGCATTACAGTAATTTGTAGCCACTGCAACCTGGTTACTAGTGGTGCCCAAATAAGTCCTTCTGCCTTCCAAACCCATCTTCTCAACATCAACAAGAAGGGGAAGAAGGTAAGGTCGTTTACATGAGCAGCTGAATTTTGGGCGTTGCCTACCCCTTACCCGGCCCCTCACCGGAGAACGACCCAGATAATGTGAGTTATAACCAGGGGCACCTTCAAACAGGTAGCTAAAGGTGGCCACAGCAGCCCGCCACAAAATGAACTGCGTGGCCGCAGCACAGTGAAGGAAGGGGTAAACAGCTCAGTCATATGGGCCCGAGGGGCCCACGAACATATTTTCTCTGTCTCACGATTCTATGACCGTTTCTGATATTGGGACGCTGCGTGTGTGGATAGTCCGTCTTTCATCATTTACGTCTAAATCCACTTCACTGGAAGCGGAGATATGCGAGAGACTAAGACTGTGCTAAAAGGCGTAGTTAACTTGGGAATCTCGAAGCGGGCTTAAAAATAGCTAATCTTTTGGGAGGAAGAATAAATATGGCCGCCCGTCCATGCAGATCAAGTATTCTTCCGTAGTACTAAGACCTTGTTCAAAGTTGCGGATGATGTGTATGCTCACGGAAGTGGCAGAGTTAACAGTCATTACTGGAGTGCACAGGAGTACACACATACTCCTGTAGGCACACAGTGCCTTCCGTCACGTTCGCAAAAGAAGGAATGAAGCGCACCTGATGTTTGGGCGTGCCTCGTGGAGGGTGAACCAATGCGACGTGCGGGAGACTCCGCCCCTCCACGCCCTCGCCGCGGGCGCGTCGGCGCTACAGTGACACCTTCGTGCGTCGCACAGTTAGTGTTATGATCTCGTGGTGAACAGTCATGGAGGCGGAAGACAACCATCTCGCAGACGAGTATGTTCAGGAGTTCGTACTCGACCATCTCGAGGACGCAAACCCCGTGAAGAGGGAACCACCTGTCATCAACCCGTGTAGTCCTCGGGCGCCGCAGCCAGCCGCCCCACAGAGGCTGCCTCCTTTGTCATCTCTGCACCACCATCAAATTGTGGCGTCGTCGCCACCCCCACATCATCTGCTAACGCCTCCCGGCCACAATGGAGAGGATTTGCAGCAGGGCTACTCAATACAGCAATCCCTGCACCATCTGCATGGGGGAGGAGTGCTCATGAGGAGTAACAATAATTTGGTTACCTTAGTATCCAGTACTAGCCACAACAACCATCCGGGTACACCGGGTACACCACCCGACACCCCGCCGGTGAGTTCATCCCCGCCGCCATATCAACAGGACCCGCCTCAACAGCTCCCACAGCAGCAAATTCCCGGAGGCGGCATCAAGGGATACACAGACATGGAGATGATGTGGTCCATCACGCAGTCTCTGCGGTACGGTGCTGGACACCAGGAACCACTGGATCTAAGGCCGAGCAACGCCGGACCGGAGCCCGACAACTGTTGGGGCGTAACACCTCAGCAACCGCAGCAGCAGCAGCTGCACGCTACAGTGATCGCTGGCGGTGGCGGCAAATTGGTGCAGCTTCCAGCTCTACATCACCACCATCACCATCATCATCAGAACGACTACATGGGGGAGGAGATGCAGACTCCTGTTAGCCCTCGCATGGGCATAAACCGCCCACTTAGTTGCGGTAGCAGTAGTGTCATGTCACCCCTAAGCTCTGGGGGCGGCGGCCAGCACCTCGGGTACGGCCCTGTGGTTGGCGACGACATCCTAAACGACGACGCTCTCATGTCGCTGTCTGTGCGGGAACTTAACAAGCGGCTGCACGGGTTCCCACGGGAGGAGGTGGTGCGCCTGAAACAGAAGCGACGGACGCTGAAGAACAGGGGGTACGCGCAGAACTGTCGCAGCAAGCGTCTCCAGCAGCGACACGAGCTCGAGGTGACCAACAGGAATCTGCAGGCGGAACTACACCGCCTCAAGTTACAGCTGAGCCGCGTGGCCCAGGAACGCGACGACTACAAGCAGCGGCTCGATCTCATGCGGGCCGGCGGCGGTTCCGACGGCGTCCACAGTTCCGTCAGCTCCTCCGGGCACAGCAACCCCAGCTCACCGGAGTTCTACCTGTGACCTCGTAGTGGCTGGAGCTGAACTGTGAACAAGCGCCTACGCGAGGGCGCAGGGACCCGTGTTTTGGCCCCCCAATGTGGCGTTCCTTGCTGTAGCGCCTATCCCGAAAACTTATGAAGTGGAGCATTTGAGGGACCTATTTCTTGGATTCAGAATTGGTAATAGTAGCAGAGCTGTATTTCTCGACGGGAACTCTCATTCAGTTGAATCTACATTGTGGTTTTGCGTGTTCGTTGGTCTAAGTTTCCGAGCGGCAAAGCTTCAGAATGACTACACCATGAGGTCTACGAGTATTGCTGAAGTAGGACAATCGAACTCTAAAAAGAATCGAAAAGCATTTTTCTAACGAAAACAAAGACTACAGTTTTTCAAACTTTTTATCGTTTCCGGTAAGATATAAATTTGTTATGTGCGTAATTGATGAAAACGCTTTTTGAATTATTAAATGTTACCAAATAACTTTTATTTGAAACACCTCATAAATTAGCACTTTTTTTTAACAATACAAATTATTATTTTCCGGTATGCTTCAGTAGCAGATTGTGAACAGCCTTTGATTAGCCGTTATGTTTTGACGTGAGTGAATTTGAACAAGTCAGATCAGTTCGATTTTTATTTTAAATGGATTCGTTGACTGCGATCCCAAAGAAGTGACTTCTGTAACGCGTCACTGTTGCGAGGTGTAACTCCGATATAACTGAATAGAGTATGCTGAGATGCAAAGACAAACATTCATATGCGAAAAAGACAGTTTTGTTTCAGTGTGTTGCGTCGTAATCTTTGGTGCAGAAGTTTTTGAGTCTCTTCCTATCAGGAAATTGCGTGTAAGAAGGGTGTAAAGCATTGTTCGATGTCTTAGAGTTGGGTTATTGTTTTTGGGTTATGGTAGGTTTATGATAGTGTTACCATAGGGATACCAAATGCTGGTTTTCATTGTTGCTGCTGTACTTATGTTCCGGGGCGTTTTACGTCCTTGTTGCACGCACAGAGGGACGATGATGTAATAATAACACTTTGCATATCGGTCTAACCGCAGAGACGGTCTGTACAAATATTGTTCCCTAATTCGCTCTCCCAGTGTACAAACTTCGTGATTTCTTCAAGGAGAATTGCGTGACTTTACGAGGGTGGGAGGAGGAGGAGGAGCGAGGTCATGAGTTGTGTCAAACAGTAATAACCATTGTGTAATAAGTCTTATTTTTTTACGAAAACAATAACTACAGAATGTTTAGAAAGTTACTTTAGTTATATGGCTTATTCATTTTAAGCAGCATAGGGTGTTCTATAATAAGATTTAACTAAGAAGCCCGTGTTCTCATTCCATTTGTAGTATGGCAAAATCAGCGCTAGTTAAGTAGTGCAGTGAGCCATTGCTGTGCAGTATGTACCTGATCTTACTACCTTATTATCAAATACGAGGAACTAGAAAAGATGCATGCACAAAGCGCAATAAGTAAAGTGATAATTGATATCGATATAGTTCTTATAGGCTTAATGCAGATTTATTATTTTAATCATTTTAATTTTTATCGTTACAAGGTAGAGGAAACGTTGTCCGTCTCGGTCTCCTGACCTCCCTGTAACTAGAATGCACGTTCTGATATAAATATTGCCCTGGGTAACAATTTCTAAATCGAGAATATATATTTCAGGTATTGTAAAAGTTTTGATATTGAATTTCAAATGCTATTTGATGGGTGCCAGGTGACCGCAGTGACAACGTCATCTCACCGCTGCAATACGCAGAAATTTGCCAATGTAAATAGCATTAAATAAAAGTGTTTGGCACAAATTATTATGAACTGCTGTTCTGAACTGTACTGTCCGAACCAATCCAATGAGGTTTACATTTGCGTAATATTACGGTTAGATTCTTTAAGCCAAATCATGAATCCTAGGGAACTGCGGGAAATTATTCGGAGGTGTACAGTTATTGAAATTAAGTGTCAAAGACACTTTTAGTGGCCTGTCGTCGAATGTACACGTAGAACGATTTGTGAGCGAGTTAACAATGGTATGGAAAGCAGCGGTTTAGGTGTAGTTTCAGGCAGCATTCTGGCCAGACAGGTGCCGGGAGGAACTGAGCAAAACCACGAGAAAGTTTGGTTCCTGAGTCAAGATTTGAACACGGTCTCACGAATACGAAGCAGGAGTGCCAGCCACTTTATCGGCAACTAAATCCATAGGTGTTTTCCGTTTCTTTGGATGAGGTGAAACTTGAAGTCCAATTGTTACATCGGCCATTATTTGGCCTATTGTACCAGCCCCAGATGATAGATGAGGGTGATTGTGGAGCAATTGATAGAATGAAGATTGGTAGGGGAAACCGAAGTACTCTGAGGAAACGTGTCCCAGCGCCATTTTGTCCACCACAAATCCCACGTGACTAGACCCCGGGATCGAACCCGGGGCGCCGCGGTGGGAAGCCAGCGACTAACCGCTTGAGCTATGGCGCGAACATACTTCCATAATTAGGTTAAAGAGAATTATTTTAACCATCTGAAGCAAGGGCAACTCGTTTCATACCTCCAAGAAAATCTGCAGGAAGTATGTTAATGATGTAATTTAATATGTTCAAAAACAATCGCTGTTTAATAGGAGAATCAAACGAAGCTCGTAATACGGAGTTGCCGAACGTTGATCAGGCAGTAAATAGTATAACCATTGATCCGTAAAAGGTTGACGGTTCGTGTCCTACGTTGATATTTTCCACTTGTATGAAGAAAACTTTTGATTTTGTTATGCTACTGGTCGTTAATATGGAAGGTTTATTAGTACCTAAACCCATTTTGATGTTTGACCAAGTTACATAATTAAGTTTGTCATAATATTCTGAACTGAAAATTTGAGAATATTTAATGATGATTTTTCAATATTAAATACTGCATTTCAAGATTTTAGAGTTCCTTACCAGCAGACAAGGGTTGAGTGGATAAGAAGTTCTCTCTCATGCAAGAACTGAAGATTTAGAACCGTGTTCATAACAGCCCTCCAGTGAACCATACCCTGAGCAACATAAATCCATTTACACTCTTTAAAACCTTTGGAATATAATCCTTCCCAGCCTTCAAAGTCCCATAGGCCTGTTTTCCTTCCAGTTCTCATAAAATGCTCATACTTTTCACATATCTTCCATTTGTTATACATTGCCTGCCCATAATTCTCGACCGAGTCACCGTTATAATATTTGGTGAAACAATTCAGACACTTAACTCACCAAATGAGTCCAAGTCCACCAATCCTTCGATAAGTGACATTTTTGTGTTCAAGCAGGTCCCTCTCATTCCAGTCGTCCTTAGTTCTCTCGCTGTATAACTCCTCAATTGAGATGTTTGCTTACCACAATTTGATAACGAAATTGATTCAGAAAGCAGTCGTGTGATTGGGATTGTACAGTCTCGGACCATTCGAACACAGGATCACGGTCTTAAGCCGCTCTGCACATTGTTATTTGCCCAAGCATTTTTATCTTGTGTTGCCTTGTGCATCAGTAGCCTTGAGATAGGCCGGCCCTCCGTCAGGGAGCCCTAGTAGAAGGTTAAACGATTCTTAGCTCCAGAAACTTATTCCAGATCGGAACAATCCGTGAGAGTTAAAAATCAACGAACTTCTGAGTTAGATTCTTCGATGCAAAATAGGCCAAACTTTGACCCATTCAACACGTACGGCCCTTGCAGCCGAAAGAAATGGCCAGGACCATATCTCGACCCACGCTTAATCTGAAAGCCCCCAACAAGATCAGCAAATAAATATGTCATCACTGTAGCACTAAATGAGATTTAGTCTGCAACAATTAAAATCGGCGAAGAAGTTGACTGCATTGAAAATATAATACATTAAAGGTATTTATTTCAGTTTACCGATAATACGACAGCTGCACTACTGGCGTGACACTTCTCCGGTCATTTGATGGTGATAAGTTGTGTGAAAAACTAATATCATTATCTGATACAACATGGACCACATAGATAACTTGTACACAGATTCTTATAATGTTGCGTGTGTGGTTGTTACAGCGGGAACGTGTCTACCGAGCAGTTACGTAGCCACGATAGGGAGGATACAAATATATAGACACAGCAAGGTGATCTCATAAGCCTACTTTTATTTGTAGTCTATTTGCCTTGTTTAAAAAAAGGCCTGTTGGGACGCTTTGCCGTCTGCCCCCCCCTTATTTTTGAGACTTATGAAATTATATTGTTGTCTGTATGTCTATGTGTATACCCCTTAATTCGTGTTTCAGGCGCCCCTTGCATTATCAAAGGAAAGCAGGTGATTGTTTCAAAATATGGAAAGTAGGCCACAATTTAATTGTGTGTTCATGAAACCATGGGTATTAACAAGGATCTGATACGGCCAAACTGACAGAGAAATAAAGTGGGGCATATCCATCATAGCTGGAAAATTCCTAATTTTTTGTATGTGATGAAGTGTGGGTAAACAATTCCTTGGGTTGTAAAACAAAGCTGTTTGACCTGCAAAGGTTTAGGCCTATATCAAGTAAGGCGGGAAGGTGAGGTTAATTGGTGAGCAGTAAGAAACTTAAAGCAGATCATGGCTTGTTAGCAGCTACTGAGGTATTTACCCGGTTCTCACGGTCTCTTCGCTTGCGGATTTCTTATATTTTTTTTCTACCCTGAAGATGGAGGCGATACGTTCCTCCGAAACGTCGGTTAACACCACATCTACACGGTACCAAATCCCAGAAGACTGCTTTCTTCAATTTAAATCTTGATATTGTTGCATGGTGGACGGTAGACAACAACAAAGAATTAATACCTACTGAAACAGGATGCTAACCTACAGCACACGAAGATATATTTAGATTAGCAAAATAACAGATCTAGGATCTTAAGGGGAGGTCTTAGGACTTGCTGTTTACATCACCTTCCTATGTAATGAGTTCAGAGGATATAGTGAAAATGGTAGTTCAGAGCTCAGAACTGCCGAGCACAGTGGCCGCGCGGTCCAAGGCATGAACAGTCTTCGTCCACCTGAATACTGGGGTCTTGGATTCCGATCTTACTCGAGGCATGGGTGTCTATGTTCGTTTATACTGTGCTTGTGTTGTGTGTATAGGCACAGCCCTTGCAAGGGCTGATCCCCCGTCCAAGGAGCCCTACCGAATGTGTCTAGGACTAAGAAACTGAAAAGCGGCCAAGGCCTAAGAAAGGGCTGTAGAGCCATAGCTGACTAGCTAGACCTCAGAACCTTGATTGGCATAAGGGTCTATTCGAGATACAGATTTTGTGGAGCCTTACTTCTATTTTCCTATGCTAATTCTAGTGCAGCTGGGTAACATTATCTCATTGTAAGAACACAGCCCGTACTGCGTTGGAGGTGACTTTATGTGCCGTGGTATTAACATAAATCAGTCAGTTTATTAAGGAATTATAGGATGTGTAAACACATTCACATATTTCATTGCCATGTGAGGCTGTGTTTTGCCTTCTACAGAAAGAAAAACATATATATATATATATCCATATGACTAACATAAGGAAACGTGTCGGCTCTTCAAATATTGCACGTGTACTGCGATCATGTTTTATATAGATACTAATGGACTAAGTTGCATTTTATAGCTAGGAACAGCAATTTTTACGTATGCAGTTTACTAAGGTCACAGCGATGCAAAGGTCGCAACCTTTCCTGTGTTTATCGGCCAGTTGATTCATTTAACAATATTTCAAACCGGAGAATTAAAGACAGTTTCTGTACTCTAGCACAAAAACATTGAAAGAAGGAAACATAGTATTTATAGAAGTAATCACTACTAAGATAAAATATGTAATTTAATAATAATAGTTTTTATTTATTTATGGTTTACATAATTCCTGGTACTCATTGCTGTTAGAGGCTGAGTGAACCCCAGGGTCTTACCGCCATCTTTGAGCCGATTGTCTAGATATTGTGGGACCCTCGACGTCTCACAACCCTATGGGCCTTCAGGGCCTGTTACAGGGATAGCTTTACTTTTTTACTTTTTTTATGGATTACATAATGACTATAAGTAATCCTGACAGTAGCTATAGTGCTCAATGATAGAATAATTAAAAGTAAAAAAAAAAGTAAAGTTATCCCTGTGCCGGTCACGGTAGCCGAGCGGTCTAAGGCATGCACTGTCTTCGCTCGCTCGGAAGCCGAGATCGTGGGTTCGAATCCCACTCAGGGCATGGATGTTTGTGTGCGTTTTTCTGTGTTTGTCTACAGGTAGAGGCCTTGCGACGGGCTGATCACTCGCCCAAGGAGTCCTACCGAATGTGTAAGATCCAGAAAAACCGAAGTGAACGGAGTTCATGGAGGTAGGCCTAAGCCCACTGGGGCTGTAGTGCCAAGGAAAAAAAAAAGCTATCCCTGTAAGAGGCCGTGAAGGTCCGTAGGGTTGTGAGACGTTGAGGGTCCCACATTATCTCGATAATCGGCTCAAAGATGGCGGTAAGGTTGTCAGCCTTACGCGCCCCAGGAAGATTATTTAATTAATTCCTGGTACTCATTTCTGTTAGAGGCTGAGTCGACCCTAGTGCCATAGTGTGGCTGGAAGGATTAGGTAAATTGAAAAATCCAATAACCTCATCGGGACTTGAACCCGCGACCTTCCGGCTTGTAGCCAAATGCCGAAATACTTTATAGAATAATTAGTGAATAATTAAATATAATGTATGTGGGAAGAAAGAATCGTGATGTAAATTGAGGTACGGGTATCATTTCGCCATTTGTCTGGAGGACTGAGGAGAACCACGAAAAACCTCAGAACAGTAAGTGGCACGACTGACATTCGCAACAGAAACATAA